CTGGGTGTGGTGCAAAAACAAGGAATACTGTTATGCTGAGAAAAGAAAATAAAATTATAAAAAAAAATACTCTAGGAGCCAGAGGTGGTCAAGAAACCCAGTTCTAGCCAATGATACAAGTAGGACAGGAGAGATGTTATTGTATTCCTTAATATGAAAAAGTACAGCCTCTGTTAATACATGCCTTTTACCTTCAACCGTTTTCTTTTATTGTTGACTCAAGGTCATAATAAGTCTAAAAGGGGTGACCAACTCATGACCATGATGACAGACCCAGAAAGAAAGCGAAGGAAGGAAGGAAGGGAGGAAGGATGGAAGGAAGGAAGGAAGGAAGGAAGGAAGGAGTCAGGAAGAACATGAGTTCTGCTGCCTGTCACTGAACTTCCTGCTGAGAAAAAAATAAATCCCTATTTGTTAAACTAATCTTGTAAATTTCCCACTACATATATTCAGGTGTAATCCTTACACAATCATACAATAAGTGATAATACCAAGTATTCAACAGGAAGAAGAATAACAGTGTAATAAATATAAGTACAGTTCCCATGGTATTATTATGCCTCTATCTTAAGCCATAGATTTTTTTTTCTTAGCTCATTTGAATCACTCATTCCTTAGCTTCACACTAAACTCAGTAGATCTAGCCCCTATTGACCTTTCCTTTAAAGATAATATAAAAATCCAGGGACATAAATCAATAAGCAACATAAAAATTGCTTACCAAAAGGAAATTGTACCAAAATAGTTTTGGGTGTCAAAAACAATACGCAAGTTTTTTTTTTTTCCCCCTTTTTCTCTGGTTCTAGAACCTTCTGACCAACATATCCTTCAAGTACTGATTTGGTCCTAATAGGTTACATGTGTGCCCAGCTGTTTCTCTTCAGCTCACAGGTTAGGTAGGTAGGGCTTGGAGTGGTCAAAGCCTCAGGGCTGGTTGCTTCTGACCAAAAACTTCTGTCCATTTACCTGAGTATACTATGCAAGCATACTCTTTTTCTGTGCATGTCACAATGTGATTAAGGTTGGGAAGTACTGCCCTACATAACTGCTAGAAGCTTTCAAAATAACAACACTCAAGGGAGAAGATTACTTATTATTTTTTTTAAGTTTTTTTTGTTTATTTATTCGACACAGAGAGATCACAAATAGGCAGAGAGAGGCAGGCAGAGGGAGAAAGGGGGAAGCAGGCTCCCTGCTGAGCAGAGAGCCTGATGCGGGGCTCGATCCCAGGACCCTGAGATCATGACCTGAGCTGAAAGCAGAGGCTTAAACCATTGAACCACCCAGGTGCCCCAGAAGATTACTTACGTACATTGTATATGGATTGGAAATGAGTGCACACATATAACATCATTTTATTTTTAGTAAAATCATTGAGCAGTCAATATGGCACTTACATCTACTATCAAGGTTCGAAGATGGATGGTAGGCTAACACACACTGCTCGGAAATGACAGAGCCAGGACTTTTGAATTAAGGATTTTTACATTTAAGCTCTATCCTTTATCTGATACACCTCCCTGTATGATGATGTTCCAAGTTTACACAGATCTTTAAAGTTAGAATTTTGACTTCATTCTCTGAAGAAAGTTCAAGTGGTTTTCCTTTGTTTGCTCTTGTGAAAGCTAGGCAAACACTAATATATACAGAAACTGATCATCTCTTTGAACTAACAAGACTGAGAAAGAACAGTAAATGACATTTTTAGGCTGTACCAAGTTTCTTTTTACAACTCCCATCCCTGACACCCAGGGAGCCAGCCCTTGTTATTTTGTGTGAATAGAAAAGAGAGTTATTGCCCACTGTTCTCCCTAAAAGTAGCCATCAAAAGGAAAAAAGTATGCTGCCATTGACCATGCTTAAGTTTTGGTATGTTTTGCCAATTACAATTTCTCATTGTGCTTTCCATAAAAGTGAAGAAGGACAGGGAGAAATGAAAGAGATGGCCAAAAGTAAATTACATATTTAACATATAAAAAGAAAATATGAATTTTAAACACAGGGCAATTATTGTCAAGAGATATCATTGAAATAAGAAGAATTTAAGTTTGCCATTCCTGTTTTAAAAAGCTAGATAACCAACAGATTTCAATGACTAGAAATAATATCTTAATTTCTTAATAGCAATGCAGAAACAAAGAGAATACATGCACAAAAATAGGAAGGCATGGGGAAACACCTATAAGTAGCTATTACAGACAGAGTAAAAAGAACAGGTGGGACCAACAGTATTAACCAAATATTAATTCACTGTCTGTGAAATAAGAACATGATGGAATGGCTGAGCAAGCATGTCATAAAACAGTAAGCGTAGCAAGCGTCAGTTACAAAATATAATAAATGCAATGGTGATGGAAGTGAGCTGGTAGCAGGTTTAGAATCTCTTGTTTAAAGACCTGGGCTCCAGACCCAGAACACCTGGGTCCAAATTCTGATCCCTTCACTTTTGGGTGATGATCACATGCTTGACTTTTCAGTAGGAAAAAAAGTATTGTTTTCTTGATTCTATTAAGATTAATAAAATTATAATAGAAAAGTGGAGGTTTACTGATTAATAGCTTGCTTTCAATAATAGTTTGAAACCAAATTTCATCAGCCCCAAATTGTGCACAAGCCATAAAAGAAATTCTGCCACCCAGTAACAAGTCAGCCAAGACTAGAAACTGGAATAACATAAACCCAACACTGTGTCCAAGTTCACGGTAAAGCCAGGTTAATTTAGTTCACGACTGGCCAAGCATTTGGAAGGCAATTTGGAAGGCGATTCAATTCTTTCAGTATATAATGGAATAGCCCACCTTGTTCTACAAGATTGAGTCACTGCCACCCCAAAAACATCCTAGTGCTTTTTTTTTTTAATGATTTTATTTATTTGACAGAGATCACAAGTAGGCAGAGTGGCAGGTAGAGAGAGAGGAAGGAAAGCAGGCTCCCCGCTGAGTGGAGAGCCCGATGCGGGGCTTGATCCCAGGACCCTAAGATCATGACCTGAGCCGAAGGCAGAGGCTTTAATCCACTGAGCCACCCAGGCGCCCCCATCCTAGTGCTTTTTGTCTTGAGATATAAAGTTATCTCCGCAACTAATCGTAAACATAAACCCTACTTCTCAGAACATTTGACTTTCCAACGTACTTAGTAGGGGTATGTCTGTGGCCAAGTAAAAGCCTATCTTCGGAAATAAAGTCCTTTTGATGTCCATAGAAGTGGAGCGACACATAGGTATTCCACTGGCTAAGTTCTCTTACGCCACATTTAAGTAGCACCTCTTACCCACCCTATTTAAACTGTGCATCCAAAGTTAATGTAGGTAGGAATGTATACTTCCTATTACAAAATAAGATGTCTCTAAAAATTTTAAATATACTAACATTTCTACAAATCCTTATTTTTACACTTCATTTGCTAAACTTACTAATTTCCTTACATCAACATGAATGTACAGAAGTGTTTTTAAATGTGAAATCACATTTAAAAGGAAGAGAATGCAACATCCTAAGCAATCATAAATAGAGAAAGTAATAAAGAGTGAAATGCTGGGTCAATAAACACCTTGAGCGAGTATTAAATGAATACTCTCCCAGCGTGACTTCAATTCCCAAAATAATACAGTAACACACTAACGTTACAGAAAAGCCATCCAAAGAACCGGAGCTAAAACAAACCATCTTTGTTGTCTGTTTCTGAAATTATGCATTTTAAGAATAACTTCCAATTAAATTCTCCTGGCATTCAAATTGACTTTGAATCAAATTACTGTTCAGAGTGCTGCATAAACCGTATGAAACCTTTCTAAGTCAATATTCATTTATAGCGAAACAAACACACATAGTCACATACAGAGCTGTAACTTCATGAAATGCGAGCAAATTCCACAAGTTTTCCTTAAGTAGATTTTAAGTTGGCAAAGAGGGTCTATGCTCAGCAAGGAAATATTTCATTTTTGTGGAAACTTCCTTCAGTTTCCACCTCGTCAGGGTTTCATTTTCCATAATCAAACATAGGAAAGGTCAGCTGTGAGCACGAAGGCCAGCACCATGCACGGGACACTGCGGAGGACAGGACACAGCCTCTTTCGGAGCGGTCTGGACGCTCCCCTCAGTGAGGCACGACAGGTGACAGGAGGAGGAGTTGGGAAATACATAATGCACCTCAGTGGGGCCTTCCTGACTGGAGAGGTCTGCATGTACTCCCACACACACACACGTTCATGAATGAACGGAAATAGGTATGTTTTTAGACTATTTCAGTTTTGTGTGTAAGCTTTAACAATTTCCACTCTTAAACCGATCCAGGCTCCATCCATCCCAATGGAAACAGACTTCATACAATATAGAAATAATACTGAGTTTGATAAGAAAAACACAAATGAATGTCTCTATGAGTTACATACCGGTTCTTACTAAAAGTAAAAATGGCTAGAGTGTGTGATATTTAACTATGTATTTTTCCCGATTCAGCACAGCCTCCTTTACTGGGATGTTTCAATATTATTTGGGATACTACCAATTAATGCAGATTCAAAATGAAATATGAGAAGTAAAAAGTACGAAAGTACTTCTGAAAATTGCAATTTTCGATTGTATGACACTGTACAACATCTTAGGGAAACAGTTTTGCGCGCGCGTGTGTGTGTGTGTGTGTGTGTGTTAAGTTTGAAATGACAGTCTCCAAGAAAATATGTCGACACAAATCCTTTGAATAGGTTGCACGTTTTATTTTTTTCTTAAAGATACTGTACCCTGTGAGAATCTTGCTATTTTAATGAGGCTCTAAAAATAGGAGCTGTGACCGGCAATTAGAAGACAATTTCACTACAGCTGGAAAGAAATACTACAGTGAAAACCTCTAATCCTAGGGGCTGGCTAGCATTCACCAGGCCTCATAAAATTCCAAACAACTCCAGTGAGGATGGTCTCATCCTCTTCCTAAAATGCCTTTATTTTTAAACGCTTTTCTGTATCAGTGATGTTTATGTCCTGTATTTTTTATTAAACACTCACCTGTGATTTTTTGTAGCAGAGGTGACAATTCAGACTCTTCTAGGAAGACCTGAGCCAAAGCTTTCTTCACGTTTTCCTCAGCTTCCCCCAGGTCTTTGTCCACTGTGAACTCTCCACTGACAGAATAAATATATATCAGGAGGACCAGCAGCTCTTCAGGGCTATAGTCATCATTGGTCCTCCGGTCCAAAGGTTTAATCATGGGCAGCAGCTGATTTAACACAACAGACATTGTTGACTCCCCAATGCTCTGGAATAAAAGGTGGGAATATGAAAATACGTTATTCTTATACAAAGATGTAATTAGTACCCAGTACCAGTCCAAAGACGGCTTGCAAACAAGTTTGTGATGTTCACTGACTAGATTACTTTTTATTTGTCTGCTTATTTGCTTTTTATTTGTCTGTTTCTTGTCCTGGAGAGGATGCTCCAAGAAATTTGACATCAGATTGATTGGTATGATGCAGCTTATAACACGGCTAGGGAAGTGACAGGCCCTTTTATGTTATCTTACATACTGGTTATACAAGGAAGAATCCACTAGTTTTAAAAGTGTTAAGTACTTTAGGTACCAAAAATTTTAAAATTCAAAATAAAAATGTATTTTTAAAGCAAATATGATTAAAAATAAAAACATGTCAACATCTATATAGCCAAACAAATGCTGACATTCTTTCAGAGGAATTAACCTTGAATTTTACAGTATTTTTAAAAATATTCTCCATATTGCCAAATATTAGAATAGGTTTTTTTATTCCAAAATCAAAGTTTATTTTTGTTTTCATTTTTTTCTTATTTTAATTCCAATAAAGTTAGCACACAGCGTTATATTAGTTTCAGGTGTATAATATAGTGATTCAACAATTCTATACATTACTCAGTGCTCCTGGGAAATGTACTCTTCCCTCGTGGGAAATGTACTCTTAATTCTCTTCACCTATTTCACCCATCACCCGACACATCTCCCCTCTGGTAACCATCTGTTGTCTACAGTAAAGTGTCCGTTTTTTGTTTTGTCTCTTCTTTCTTTGTTCATTTGTTTTGTTTCTTAAATTCCACAGATGAGTAAAATCATGTGGCATTTTGTCTTTCTCTGACTGAATTATTTCACTTAGCATTATACTCTCTAGGTCCAATCATGTTGTTTCGAATGGCAAGATTTGATTTTTTTTAATGGCTGAGTAATATTCCCTTGTATATACATATTACTTCTTTATTCATTCATTTATTAATGGACACTTGGTCAGTTTCCATAATTTACTGTAAATAATGCTGCAATAAACATAAGCATGCATATATCCTTTCAATTAGTGTTTTTGCATTCTTTGGGTAAATACCCAGGTGTGTGATTACTGAATCATAGGATTTTTAATTTAATTTTATTTTTAACAATTTTATTTATTTATTTATTTGACACACACACACAGAGCAAAAGCCGGAGGAGCAGCAGAGGGAGAGGGAAAACAGTGTCCCCACTGAGCAGGGAGACCAATGTGGGACTTAATCCAAGGACCCTGAGATTATGACCTGAACTGAAGGCAGCCGCTTAACTGATGAGGCACCCAGGCACCCCGGCACCCCAAGAATCATAGGATTTTTTTTTATAACAATCAACAGTCATTTCCTGCTAAACCTGGTGAGTAGAATATGGGATCAAACTGGGCAATGTCACTTAGGGTTCAAGATATATTTGGGTGAATCTGAAGGTAATTCATTTTAAAACAAAACATTTTTTTTTCCTTTTAGCTCTTCCACTAATTTCATCAGTGATATTTAGCAGAGAATTTCAAAATTCCTTGCACGCGATAACAGCCTTGCATTTCTGGAGTAACCACATAGCTTCTAAGTAACTATACTACGTCTCGTACAAATTCTGAGATTTTTCGTGAACATGTAAATCCCTATTTTAAATAATGTGCTTTATTTCACTTATAAAATAATCTTATAAAATAAAACTCAACTATTTGTATTTGTATTAAAATCAGGGGCCAAATGATCACAACTTGTAATGTTCATGTCATTCATTCAGAAGGGTTCGTTGAGTATCTACTATATTCCAGGTATTATTCTGGGTTGAGGTATACAGAAGTGAACAAAACACATCCCTTGCTGTCGTAGAGTTTATATTCTTCTTGGGCAAAAGAGACAATTAAAAAGCTAAAGATGTAAAATATACAGAATACCAGATGGTGGTAAGGGCGATGGAGAAGAATAAAGCAGGAAAGAAGGAAGATGGGATTTTAGTGTATGTGTATGCTTACGTATATCAAAATACACTATTTTAAAGAGGAAAGGCCAGGTTAAGAAGGGAGCACTGGAATTTTAAAAATGGCCTATAGAAATGCTCTCTTTGAATGAAGTTGATGGCAAGCAGCTGGATGTGATTCTGTATTGAGATGACCACCCCAAAACGAACTTTTCTAGTCAAGTCAGTTCCACACCTGGAAAAATTTGGACATATCATCTCAAGGTTAAGGTTCATTATTATTTTATTTGGTACACGAAAAACAGCTGTTACCATATATTTCCACTAAAAATCTTGGATGTTTACAATGCACCAAACAAAAACAAAATGGTAAGTCTCTGGAATAAATAGATACAGATGGAAAAGAACAGGAAGATGTTACTGTTCCATGGTGACAAGACACAATTAACCCAGTGTAAACAAACCCACTTCTCAAAAGAAATGGCTGAAACCTTTGAAGGCATCCTAGGTCTGTCCTACAGCCTCAGGAGTTTCTGGAGACAAACATTCACATATTCTCTGCTTTACAAGCTGCCAAGAGCGATTTAAAATAAAGGAGCTGTGTGGCTAGCCTGTTAGAAGTGGCACTGTGGGGGCCACAGCTTTCATTTTTTCCTTTTTACCCTATCACCAACATTTTGGATAACATTAAGCAGACTCCTTCATTGCTTCATTATATCCCATTTCTGAAAAGCAGGTATATGCTTCAAGTATCTATCCTATCAGAGCCTTAGGATTCTCTTCCCAGAGCAAAAGGATTTTTTTAAAAGGTAGTTACACAAAGTAAAACAAGGTAGAATAATCATCATAATCCTTTGAAAAGATTCAACCACTAACATCTAGCCATGAGAACATCATTTTCAAGTTGCTGATCTAAGATCCATTGCTGGAGAACAAACTCCCTCACTAACACTCTAGCAGACTTCTGTTAGCTAGGTAATGCCTGTGTACATCAATTTATGAAATTACTTTCTAATCTGCTTAAAACATTCCCAAAAGCTAATTATAGAGCTGAATACAAAGCAAAGAATACTGATCAGTCTTAAAGAGGCATGAGATATGGTGGAAATAAAAAGACTCCATTTCAAATATCCAGATTCCAAACCTGACTGTATCAGTAAGTCTCCTTAACCTTGTAGGATCCCAATAAATTCTCAGGATCTCTTTATCTCTAAAATGGCATGATCAACTACAAAATGGCTCAGTTCTTAAGCCATATTTATGTGAACATCTCCGTTTTCACTTTCTTCTCTCTCTTTTTTTTAAACATTACGTTGGTGATAGCAGGCAGTGAATCACATTTCATTGTTGGCTACACAGAAAAACATAAAAGCTCAAAAGACAAGCTTTACTGAAGAACCAAATGTAGATACAGAAATATCATAGATACATGTGTGACATGGACTGACACACATACATCTATTTCCCAGTTCTGCCACTGAGAAAATCTAGAAGTAATGACACCCTGGTATCAGCGAGCACACCCAGTGGTCAGATTGTGGTTTCTAATGTCATTCTCAAATAACAGGGATCAGGGATCCTCGGAGAAATGGCTCGTTCTAGGGATGGGCAGCGAAAATACAAGAAGAACTTGGAAGATCTTTTTGTGCCTGAAAGTAAGGAAGTCCTTAAAAAACAAAGGGATGGGGCATGTCAAAAGGACACAGGAGAAAACTGGAAGGCCTCCCAGTGGCCAAAGCTGAAGCAATTTGGGTAAGAAAACAAATAGTAATGGATTATAACCCCGAGTACAAAAAAATATGCTTTGTTCCATACTGATCTAAATAAGTGATTGCATAAATAAAAATAGATATATAGATAGATAGATAAATGTAGGAGAAGAGATACATGTTCCTTACAGAAGAATTCCAAATTAACTTATGTAGTTACCACCCCCTCCAGGAGGTAATCTCCCTACCTCTTGAGTGTGGGCTGCACATAATGACTTGCTTCTAAAAAATTGTGTATAGAAGGAGGAGGGAGGAGAATTGTACCTTAGAAGATCAAGGTTAGCATCACCAGTGATAAGGTAAATGATATCATGTGTCCCTAATATAATGTGATGGGAATGGCACTTTGCGTTTGCAGTATTTTTCTCCCAAACCCATAACCGCACAACAAAAGAAGGACACATGCTGTGATGAGCACTGGGGGTTATACGCAACTAATGAATCATGGAACACTACCTCAAAAACTAACGATGTACTATATACAGTGGCTAACTGAGTGTAATAAAATAAAATTAAACAAACAACAATAAATCCTAATTAAGGAACATTCTATAAAATGGCTAACTAGTACTCCTCAAAACTGTCAAGTCATGAAAAATGGGGAAAGACTGAAAAACTATCACACACCAGATGAGACTAATGACAAAACGTGATAGGATCCTGGATGATATCTTGGAACAGAGAAAGAGCAAGGGGGTGGGGGGCGAAGAGGGGGAGACTAGTGAAATCAGAATAAAGTCTGGAGTTTATAGTAAATAGAAATACACCAATATTGGCTTCTTAGCTTTGACAAATATATTACAGTACTGTAAGATTTTCACAATGAGGTGAGAGATATACAGAACTCTCTGTACTATCTTGACAACTTTTCTACATATCTAAAAATAATCTAAAATGAAACATTTTTTGGCAAGAGGAGAGGAGGGGAGGGAAAGGGAGAGAAAGGGAAGTTGAGGGAAGGGAAGATAATAAGAGACAAATCCAGGTACTTTTGGATCTCCAGACTCAAAATTCTGTCAAACTGAAAATTTCAGGAAAGACAATTTCAGCTGAGTATAAGAATTTCTCAAAAAGAGGAACCAAAGTAAGGGACTGACTTGGGAAGCAATGAACCTCCCATCAGTGGCAAAGGGAGGTAGGGAGATTGTCTGGCACGGATGAATGAGAGGGAATCCTACACACATTGGCTTAGAAGGCCAATTAGATCCTCCTAGTACTATTCGTAAAAGTATGACTCTAGATTGGAGGTATATCCATTTCCGATACTCTCTGCTC